GAAGAATTTTTTCAGGAATATGTTCGAGACTTTCCGCAACGTCTTAAAACGTTGTTGCATAAAGATATGTTATTATATAAGGGGTTTTTTGTTTTGGGTTTGGTTCAAGTGATGCAGTGAGGAGGCTGAAGAAATAAGAAATAGACTCAGTTGTAATAGGTGCAGCTGATTTGTTTGTAAATTGCAACACGAAGGAAGCTTACTTGGTAATGAATTTCACTGAGGTCTTCAGAAATCGTTGTTAAAAATGAACGCGAAGCCTAAAATTATTCAATATGTTGGTTGCAGCTCAAAATGTAAAGGTTTACTTTCTATATTTTAATATAAAATTATTGGAAAGGTGTGGTTTAGAGTCTACAACCACCGGTTCTTTGAAACTTGATGTGAAATCAAAAGGCTCAGAAAGATAAATTAAAATTTCGTGAATTGACGAAGCATCTTGAGCGCATCTCAAATGAGAGGAGATGAAGCCAAGTAAACGTCTTTTCATAATTGGTACCCGGAGCAATGGCTAATAACAGCCTCTATAACTAGCTAGAGAAGATACTTCTTAAGAGGCAGCTCTCTAGATCTCTTACAATTCAAGCAGAGCATATAACGTATGTTTTTCAGTAAATTTGAGCTTTTATTTAAAACTAAAACTACTAAAAATCTTGTCGGACACAACTTGTCAACGTTGTATGGAAGAAGGTGAGGTGGAAAGACACTTTCTCCTCCGTTGTTCAGCTTTTACAAGGCTGAAGTTGAAACATATCGACAGTCGTATCAGTCGGCGTAGATGATGAATTAGCACTTTGTCGATTAATGAGGGTATTTATGATTAATACTTTTGAGTTTTAGGCATCACAACGCACCGGAATTGTCATCTATCCAAATGAGACGTTTATTTTGCATTCTGAAAAATTTACCCTCCTTTTGGGTTTGTATATTCAATAGTATATTGATCCATATGGCACTTTCATGAAACGGAATTCGCAGCTAAGATTTTTACAGGGTAATGACTCAATAATTTTGGGTTCCCCACATCAACGCAGATATAAGCTAGAAATATTCCCTAGTAAGATAGCGCGACAATTTTTACAGCGCGCCACATTTTATGATGCTGGACTTTACACCGAAGCAACTCAGAAAATATAATGCTCAATTGTCCATCTCGGTCATATGATCCGAGATCATGAATGAATGTATATGAAACTAATGGTCAATGCAGAGAAAATTTTACAATTAAGCAGTTGTAAAACAACATTCGGTGCGTTATTAGCGACCTTACGGCTGTGCTGTGTAAAAGGGGTGTAAAACCGACAGGATAATGGTTCTATGCCTGTAATTCCGTTTAAGCTCCATTAAATTTGCAAAGTAATGAAGGCAAAATATTTGACATTAATTTACCTATAAAATAACATACTTTGCCACCTTGTTTGAGTAGGTCTCGAATTTTCTATGAATAACAGTATTTTTTCGAATTTTTTACTAATTAATTAATTCGTTGTGAAATTGTGTGAGCTAATTTATTGTTTGTGTTAACAGTGTATTAAATAAATTTTTTAAAGATATTAAATGAATAATTTAATGCAATGCTGCCACCATAAAAAAAAGCATAACATTACGAAGCAAACATGTGCGGCTAATAAAAATTGTTTTGTAAAATGTTTGCTTGTAAAAAAATCAGTGCAAATATATATGTATACAGATCTACATCTATTATTTGCTGTAACATATGGAAAATGGAAAACTATTAGCTTATTGGTCTAAAAAACAAAACAGCAATAAATTACTTTTTACATTTAGCGCGTTATTTTACGTTAAAAAAAACTTTTATTTTATTTGAAAAACAAAAATTAAAGAAAAACAACAAAAACAATTAAAAGCATACAAAATGCAAATGAGCTTAGCCGAGCATGCATTCAATGCTTTCAGTTATCTGATTTCTTGCAGAACTAGCCAAGCAAGCGTTGAGGAAGCAGCCACAATGTAAGCAAGTGTGTAAAAATCAACAAAAATGTACCGTTAAGTACAAATTATACGATTAGTGGCCCAAATGTGCATAGGCCAAAGCGCCGACCGCGAACGAACAAGCGAAGCGCATGAAGAACAACTACAAAGCAATCAACAACAAACCCATTGAAATGTATATGCAACCACAACTACAACAAGCGCTAGTAACTAGCATGAGGAAAGTACTAACTTTAATATGTCTAACTGCAATTTAGCTGTCCGAAAAGAAAACTTTACACTACGCACAGAAAGCTCCGCAGAATTCGGTTAGGATAATGCAGCACGCAAGTTAATGGAATTAAATGGGCACAAGAAAATATTTGACTGAGAAAATGCAAATAAGCGCGATGTTGCGTTGAGGCAAAGGCAATTGTGGAAATACAACAAACAAAAAATGTAAAAAATGAAACGCTTCTCGCAGGCGGAAAACTTAAACACATATAATTGGCGGTTTCAGGCCAGCGAGGTGAGATCGGATCAGACTTGGCGCAGACAAGCAAAACAATTCTCACAACAAAAAAATAAAAAAAAAAACCAAAAACAATGAGCATAAAACTCGCCGAATGATAAATGTGCGTTTGAAAGTTGGAATTTTGTGTGTTAGAGTGGCAGAGGGCAAAGTGAAGCAATGGAAGTTATGTATTTTTCTGGTGCCCGCAGACATACCCGAAATAGAAATGTAAATAACCCGCATCGCAACAACAACCGTTAAGCAAGTAGGTGTAGATTTGTAGCTTTCTGGCAGCGCTGTCATACAAAAAGAACTACTTTCTTTCACTTAGAAATGAGTACACCAATAAATAAGTGAGCCCCCGGTGGACGCTAGTAAAAGTGCGAGTACATTTTGTTAGACTACACATTCACGATGAAAAATAAGAACAAATTCATGACGTAGTAGCGCACTGTGGCTTTACTTTGATAGGTACACTACATGAGGAAACCACAAAAACAACTAGAATACCAATCGAAGTACTGAAGTATTGGAAATATTGTAAGTAATTGTTATATGCCTTTGGGACATCTAGTATTATTTACATATAAGAAGCTTGACGAAGGCACAAGTGATCGTTAATGAAAGCTGCAGTCATGTATTTCTATTGCTTGAGTATGCTTACATCGCGTGCATAAAACGTCGCTTTCTATTCTCAAATTTCAGTACACATGACTCAGAAATATTAAAGGGAGCTTCTTGAAAAATTTAATAAAACTAGAAGAAATGTTAAATAAAAAAGTTTCTATAAAAGAACTTGATTTTGATTGATCACATTACATGGCAGTTATTTGCTATAGTGGTTCAAGCTGAACAATTTCTTCGGAGATTATACCGGTGTCTTGAACACGAACCCATCCTAAATTTCTCGACAAATAAACAATTTTTCCATATTAAAACTGGATTTTGATTGTTCAGTTTGTATGGCAGCTATATGCTATAGTGGCCCAATAATAGCGGTTCAGACGAATGAGCAGCTTCTTGGAAAGATAAGAGTGTGTGCGAAATTTCATAGCGATATCTCAGAAACTGATGTACTAGTTTGCGTACAGACAGACAAGCCTAAAGCGACTCAGCTCATCACGCTAATCATTTATGTACATACACTTTATAGATGTATATCGGAAGTTTACTTTTGAGTATAACAAAGTTAATGGCAAACTTGAAATATTTCAACCAAATTCAACCGTGGAGCCAACTCTTTCTGCACTTTATGGTTGTATATAATCGTGAGATATTCTGATCATTATTAAATAATAATTGTAAAATCATTTGCTTACTTGAATTAGCCGTGATGTTTCTGCAAGTGTGCGAATGTTCCATGTTCCGTATCTGGTCCTTTTTTCATGCTAAAGGTTACCTTGATGAGTGGTGGCTCCTCGAACATTATGCGTCATACCAAAATAAAATTATTCAAATACAATGTGAAGTCCACACTTCAATACGGTTGCCAAACATGAAATCTCATAGCCTCTGACATCCAAAAGCTGCAAATTTTCACAAACCGATACTTTCGCAATATTTTTCGCATTCTCTGGCCCGTCACAGTCTGTTAGAGACTAAGGACATGCAGACACCAAACACTCTTTGTGCCGAAATTCTCAAAAGAAAACGCGGCTGGCCCGGGTATCTCCTGGGAAAAAATCTAGATACAATCATTCGGAACGCTATCGGCTGGAATCCACAAGGCAGCCGGCGGAAAGGCTGTTCCGCTCTAACTTGAAAAAGTAAACTGGACATCGAACTATTTAAGGTTAAAAAAGTAGGAGTTTATGTAATTCATTTTATTTTAGTATTGAATTCCTCAAACTTCAACTTCCACGCTTTGAACGAAAAGGCCTCAAAATAGTCAGTTTCGCATGCTAATATACCCTCATAGGCATTTATATATATACTAAATCGCAGATGGCGCTACGACTTGATTGTTTTCCCACCTTATTATCCTATCAGGTAAAACTATTTACGATATTTTAATAATACTATAAATATGAATGCCTTCCTGTAACTTCGGCGATGCGCAGATATAAATAATGAAGAATATTTAGTTGCAGGGCCGACAACAACAACAGTAGGCGCCAGCGCGCAGTTAAAGAACAATGCAATATTTAAAGCTTGCGGCCAGAAAAGTGGAATAAAATATGGAAAAAGAAGTACGAAACCGTGGCAGCGAATTACGCTACGCAAGTACAATTCCGCCGCTTTAAATGCGCTTAAGGAAATATTGTAAGACGATGCATCGTAAAAATATTGACGGCTGCTGACATGCGATATTTAAAGTTGATGTGATAATTGACAATCAACATATCATAAATTGATGTTTGGCAGGGCAGAGCCACAGACTGGGCCAGAACGCAAACTGAAGGCAATGGATTACATCGAAGCTAGTGCGTGTGTGTGTGTTAAATGGATTTTCTTATTCACCACTGCATATAAAAGCGCCCGAAGGCAGTCAGAGTTATTTTAGTTGATTGAAAGTGAACTTAAAAGTAATGTGAAGAGTAAGCAATAAAATTAATAAAACAAACACATTGCCACAAGACTGGGTACTTACCTTACAGACATACATACACACGCATTCTTCGCAAGAAAATGAAAGTACTCATTCTGTGTCTGCTTGGATGGCTAACGGCCGGACTGGTGCAGGGTGCAATCACATATAATGCGGAAAGGAATATTTCCGATGTGGCCATAGGTGTGTCTAGTGCTAAAAGCACAGAAAAAAATATGCTTAGGCGGAGAACAGAAAAATAAAATAAATAATAAAGTAGCTATAAAAATGCAAATATTAAAAAAAAATCATATTTTCTTCTCTCGCGAAGCTCTGTCGGAAATAATCAACGGTTTAAAGCCACGCCAATTAGCTATACTGGCAGCACCGCAGTTCCACTTCACCAGGCGACATGCACCTTTGCCAGCTTCGGCCGAAATTCCCGACGATACGCAATTGGAAGGCATGCAAATGGACATCGATGATTTCATTTATCAGCTGCACAAACTCTACTTTAAGTCCGTCATTTATGATAAGGCCGATTTGTTTTTCAAATTCGTCGAAGATAGTCTACAGGGTTCAATTGAGAGCGTCAATCTTATATTTAGTGCACCCTATGAGCTTTCGGCGCGCATACAGGAGCGTAAGTTGTCGCATCGGCTGAGCTTATTCATATTCTATTGGGGCGCCAAGCATCCGCCGAAAGCCAATGAGGTGCGTTTTGAAGAGCCAATGAGAGCGGTTGTCATTACGAGGCCAAGGAAAAAGGCGTAAGCTTCAACATTTATTTGGTGGTCTTTAGATTTCTTCGGAATATTATTGTGTTGCTATGCTATGTTATGTTACATAATAGGTCAGGTCATATATCTCATATATATACATATGTGTAGGTTTCGCATTTACTACAATCAAGCTGTACCCGACGGTGTGAGTAATCTCCGCTTAGTCAATTGGTATGATGGCGATAACTTGGGTTTGCAAAAAGTACCGCTATTGCCCAATGCGGCAACGGTTTATTCGAACTTCAATGGTCGCGTGTTCCGAGTGCCCGTCTTTCAAGTAAGTAAAAAAAGGAAATAAAACCCTAACGATTTTTTACAAAATATTTTTTCGCGAAAGTCTCCTCCCTGGTTTTGGGTCAGCTATGAGAATGATTCCACAAACTCCACCATGTTCGATGACTACATCGACTCCACCAATGACTACAACGAGTTCACCGAAGTGAACGTCACCGGCGGACGAGATCATTGCCTGCTCAACCTGCTGGCGCAGCATATGAATTTTCAGTTTATCTATATAGAGGCTCCGGGCAGAACACAGGGCTCCTTGCGCAACGATGACACAGGCGAGGAGAATGATACATTTACTGGAGGCATTGGACTCTTACAAAATGGTGTGAGTGGTCGCATAACGGATGCAGGGTCTGCGAAAAAAAAGTAGTTTTCTGCTATTCTTCTTCTCTTTTTCAGTTAGCTGATTTTCTGCTCGGCGACGTCAGCCTCAGTTGGGAGCGTCGTAAGGCTGTTGAGTTTTCCTTCTTTACGCTAGCCGACTCAGGCGCTTTTGCGACGCATGCACCGCGTCGTCTCAACGAGGCCTTTGCCATAATACGTCCCTTTAAGCGCGATGTATGGCCCTATCTAATATTGACGGTTATATTTTCGGGTCCTATATTTTATGCCATAATTGCCATACCCTACAAGTGGCACTTGCCATGTCAAAGTAGAGGAGTAACGAGGCATCGCTTGCGAAGGCAACAACAACGTGATGTGGAGCGCGCCGATGAACTGGTCTTTCATATGGCATATATTAAGGAAATCACAGGCGACAATGAGATGACAAGGCGTTTACTGCGTCAGCAGCAACAACAGCTTCAACGTCAAGTGGAAGGGAGTAAGCAACTGGCGCGCGACGGCAGAGTGCAGGGATTGGCGGAAATACCAAACAATCTTTTTGATAAATGCATTTGGTTCACAGTGCAACTCTTTCTCAAGCAATGTAAGTATGTGTGTGTGTGTGTGCTGTGCGCCTTCATTAGAAGTTCTGTGCAGCAACATCTTATCTTTTAATGACCATTCTGTGCGTTCACTTAGTCAACAGATTTCCGCTCAGTAGCTCAGCTTCGGCTATTTATGCTGCTGACATTTATTGCATTCCCATTTCATTCAATTATTTTATCACTACTACCTGCCTCATTATGTCTGTCCACCTGCATATACGCGGCCGTGTGTATGTATATGTGTCTTTTGTGTTTGGCTGCAGCTTGCAAGGAGCTTTATCATGGCTATCGTGCCAAGTTTCTCATGATCGTCTACTGGATTGCGGCCACCTACGTGCTGGCTGATGTCTACTCCGCCCAGCTAACGTCGCAATTCGCGCGTCCGCCACATGAGGCACCAATTAACACGTTGCAACGTCTGCAGACGGCTATGCTGCGCGATGGCTATCAACTGTTTGTGGAGAAGGAAAGCTCGTCGCTGGAAATGCTGGAGGTTGGTGGCAATATTCATGGCATACTCATAGTGTTGCATAGCATGTGGCAAGTGAAAGTAATGTTTGGTGTGAATATATATTTCTTTGTTGTGTGTTTGTATATTTATTTAGAATGGCACTGAGGTATTTCGCCAATTGTATGCGCTTATGAAGCTCCAGAATCCGGATATGGAGGGTTATCTCATTGATTCCGTGGAGGCTGGCATTTTATTGATCGCTGATGGTCTGGAAAATAAGGCGGTTTTGGGCGGACGAGAGACACTCTACTTCAATATACAGCAATTTGGTACGAAGAATAGAAGACGGCTTTTAAGTAATTAACTTGTTTTCTCCATATTTTTTTAAGGTTCCAAGACATTTCAACTCAGTCATAAACTTTATACGCGTTACTCTGCGGTTGCAGTACAGATCGGTTGCCCTTTCTTGGATAGTCTTAATGATGTGTGGGTTTTACAGAATAATGATATCTGATATTTCATCGTCTCTCTGCAGTTCATTTTATGTCAACATATTCAATGCCAATTTCTTTCATGCTATTTCATCTCATCTCTTCCCATCTAATCTTATCAGATCGGATCTCATCTTATATTATCTCACCTCATCTAATTTCATCTCATTTTGTCCCGTCCCATTTCATCTCAACTTATATTATCTCATCTAACTTATTTCATTAATTATTATCTCATCTCTTCTCTATTTATCTCATTTAATGTTATGTCATATCATCTCATTTCATGTCATGCCATCGCATCTCATCCCTTCTCATCACATCTGATCTTATATCATCGCTTCTCATCTCATCATTTCGCTTCCTTATTTAAGTTTCATTCTACACCATTCAATCAGTGTCCCACTATCATTTTATACTTACGTCGAAGTCAATTACCTGCCTTTCCATTATCAGCATCATACACCTATTCGAAGGTGGCATTCTGGACAAAATGACAAATGCCGAATATGCCACACAATCGCGTATGTTAGGTAAGGAATATAACGCACTGCATCCCACAAACCCCGCTGAAACCAGTGGCACTAACGAGCCACCGCCGAACGATGACAATCGCAACGCGAATGGTGGTAATGATATTAATAGCAAAGGTGAGGAGAACGCGGAGGCTACATCGAAATCGCTGGACTCACAAATCATACAACCACTCAACCTGCGCATGTTGCAAGGCGCCTTCATCGTACTGATCTGCGGCTACGCGGCAGCAAGTACGTAAAATTACTGTTAAAATAAGATTTTATTTTTATTCACTTTAGTTTCTCTCAGTGTAAGCGCCCGCATATTGCGAAAGTGTAGTTCACATATTTTCTTATTAGTTTTTTACGCAAATTTCAGCTGGTATTCTTGTGTTGGAGCTGTGTTGTCATCGCCTGAACTCGAATTTTATGGAGCGTACTCAGACCCGCTTATTGCGCCGTTATCGCTGGTGTAGTCGGAAATTCCGTAAAATTACACACTTGCTATTTGTCAGAATCATACGCTGAATTATTTGTTGTATTGTTTTGTTTTTGTTGTTGTTTTGTGTCGGAATTCTTATCACTCGAATGTTTTGTATAACAAATGGGGTTGTACGGGTTCTTTTGAAATTAGTCAAACTATTTTTGTTGTTGTAATACTCGTATGGAAATATTCTACAAATTAGTTAATTATCGCGACACCCACATAAATTCAAGGGGCTTTTGGATAGATGAGGTGGTGTGGTGAGGATAGTGTAATGGCTTATCTGAAGTTTGAGAGGTTTTGAAGTGTAAACATTTTATAAAGTTCTGAAGCTAAAATTGTAACAATGTCACAAAAGCTTAAAATAAAATAAAATTTATGAATGTTGCAAACTATTTCTATTTTTTTTTTGGAAAAGCTAGTGATTGGAATGTGGCTATGTTAAACGACGTTTTTCTAAAACTAATTTAAAGGAATTGTGCTCAATTTTTGAAACTGCATATATTGACGTAGGCGTTAAGATAACGAAGCTTAAACTAGTTATATTTCACTTAACTTAACTTAACTTTACTCAACTTAACTTAACTTGAGGTAACCTAACATAACTTAACTCAACATAACTTAACTCACCTTGACTTAATTAAAGTAATATACTTGTTAAATTAAAAAAATCGATTTCTGTTTTGCATCTAATATATCGAATGTACATACATACATATACATATTTGAGAATATTCTCTGAAAATTTTAAATTGATCCGGCAACATAATTTTTTATTTTGAGTAAAAATTGAGATATCTTTATGAAACTTGGTACACATGTTTCTTGGTACCGTAAGACGGTTGGTATTGCAGATGGGCGTAATCGGACCACTGCCACACCCACAAAACGCCATTAATCAAAACAAATAAATTGCCATAACTAAGCTCCGCATAAAGATACGAGACTATTATTTGGTATACAGAATCAAGTAAAAGAGGGGCATCTGCAGTTAAATTTTTTATTAAAAGTGGGCGTGGTCCCGCCCCTAATAAGTTTAATGTGCATATCTTCTAAACGGCTAAAGCTATAATAACAAAATTTAGTGAAAACAAATTATTTTAGCTTCTCTATCGACAGTGTGAGAATGGATGAAATCGGGTGACAACCCCGCCTACTCCCTATATAACGGTACTGTTAAAAACTACTAAAAGCGCGATATATCAAGCACTAAATACGCCAGAGACATTAAACTTTATCTCTGGGATGGTATGAGATCACTTATTAAAAACCGCGTTCAAAATTAGACCGTGGGCGTGGCACCGCCCACTTTTAGGTGAAAACCCATATCTTGGGATCTGCTTAACCGATTTCAACCAAATTCGGTACATGACATTCCTCTCATATTTCTATGTAATAAATAAAATTAATAAATGAAACTCTCAAAAATAGTATATCTTTGTGTCAAAAATGGGTTGAATCCGATCAATACTTCCTTAAATATAAAATTTTGCCAACACCTGAAGTAATTTCCCGGGCTTTGATCCTTGCAAGTTGCGAGCGTATAAAATGTTCGGTTACACCCGAACTTACAGGTTCCTTACTTGTTTATATATATCTATGTGTATTTGTCAGTTCGAAAGCATAAAATTAAAAAAAAAACGCGAAAAACTTAATTTACCCTATTTAGGGTATGAATATCGTCTGGTATCAAAAGTAAATGAATACATATATCCGTATAGTATTAATTTCCAGCAACACTTATGGTCAAAGGCCAGTTCAAAAATTATGTTGCAAGTCTACTTCATTATAGAATACAACAAATACGCTAAGCTTTCATATTATACTTGTACATTGATGCATTTACTTATTAAATTTGTTGTATTCATTTCTTCACTCGGCGTATGTTGTACGCGCCCAACTTCGCCTTCATAAAACATTGAATGAAGGTATGTGTAATTATTTTTAGGCCATAAATAAGTAAAGTAAACAAACAGCAACAAAAGAGTGTAGTGCGAAACAATAAAATGCAACAACAACTAAAAGTAAAGTGTAAACAACAGTTGTGGAGGGGATTTCTATGCCATTCATGTGGAGTTTTGGTAAAATTTAACGCTTGAGGTCGGTAAAATATTTTATGAAGCAGTTGAGAATTGCAAATGAGCAATATCGGTGCGAATGAAAATAAAGACGCGAACTCTGAATCGTTCAAAAATATGTGCAAAGAAATAGCATTCTCAGTGCCATTTACTGAAGGAAAAGGAAGTGGATTCGAATGAGAAATTGACAGCTGTCGTAGATTTACTATCTGCTCAGAAAATAAATTTGAAGTTATTTGGCTTCAAAGCCATTTTTCCAACAAGAATTTTCGAATATCTGAACGCGTCGGTAAGGTAGCTGATGAGACCGTAAGCGAATTAGTAAGAGATGATATTTCTTAGTTGAAGCAAGTGAACCAATTTTTTCAGTTTAATGCGCGATTTTTATTTGACGATGGCAGAACGCTGAAATCCAATAGAGCCCGGCAAAAAATTTTTGTTCGGACGCACGGTTATTCTTCGATTAGAAGTGCTAGTGTCAACGCAGATTTTATCTCACACAATATGTGTATTGGGTCTACTATGGTTCGACACAGACTCGCTTCTTATATACCAACAGATCCCAGTTTTTTTCTTTCTAAAAAATACTCGTTCCTTGAAACTATACAATCCATATTTTCGTGAAGGGTATAGAATTTGAGTCTGTGACATCATCGGCTAAGAAACAAAAGCCAATAACGAATAAACCAAATTGCAATGGATCTTTGCTGCCACTCGGCTATCGCGCATTGATGATGACTACGATGATGACGGCAACGACGATGCTGAGATCGCAAATCCACTTAAACTGTCTTAAATCTCCATGTGCTGATCAGCGTGCTGCATGGAGGACCTTGTGGACAGAAAGACAGACAGAAAAACAGACCAACAGATGCATAAACTAGACCCTAGACGACTGTAGGTAATGGTCACGGGCGATTTGACTGAACGGAGGTGCAAATGGATGAGTCGCATGCCAAAATCAAACAGATCAATGATGAGATTCACACAGCGAAGGCTGTAAGCCGACCAAAGGGTGTGTGTCAGTATATATGGGCGTGGGTTGCGTAGGTTTGCATGTGGGTTTGTTTGTTTTGCAATGTGTGCACTCATTTGGCGCTCCAAATGGCACAGCGAGCACTTCACTCCACTTTACTGCAGACAACGCCAACTTGGTCATCACTCGTCGGCGTTTGACGTGGACGCGTTATCCAATCGCCAAGTTCCCTTGTGCCATTTATTTAAATTTGAGCTCTGTCGCAGACTTGCCGGCTGATGCACTCGTAAATATTTACATACTGTTGTATTATATGTATTTGTGAATATGTGTCGGTTGGATTTGGGAAAAAAGCATTGGCATGTTTACTTTATTATTTTACTTTAATTTGCTTTTTGTTTGTTTTGACTCGCAGTTACGCCGCGAATTTCCAAGCGATCATCCTGCTGGTGTGATCCTCTTACCAGATGCTATCAATGATCGTTGGCGCGCTTGCTAGATGGACTAGCCCCTCGCTAGCCAATTCAGTTCGCGAAATAAGAGGAGATTCAACATTCAAACCACCTCAACATTTACCGTCCCTAATAAACTACCCGAACAAAACAAGCAGTCGCGCCGCAGAGCTCTTGTCCTCCGTTTCGCTGTCAAGCAGTTTGTGCTGCCTACGCTGACGTTCATGTCGCCGCCGCTGATTGTATCGGTCGAATGTCGTTAAAGTCATTGCGCGACTGCTGGCTGCTGAGCAAGTTTCGAGACACTGAGCTTCTCTTTGTTTGGAGATTTATTTGCAGCACCTACGAACATATTAGGTTTCGATTCTTTGTAAGTGTGGCAAGTACTATTTACCATATGGTCAGTTAAAGCCCACATAGCAATAGCTGAAAGATCTCTCACTTTTTATTTCACTTTATCAAGGCACAGTCGTCGCACTGAGAATTCTTTATAGTCTACTGTTGTTGTTTTAACACGTCTTTTGATTTCTCTTGATTTTATACTTATTTTAATGACGTGGAGATAATTATTTTAAGAAATGGAATTGTAAGAAATTAACGGGATCATTATGAAGGTTGATCTCAATGTATCTCGAATTACCGATGCCCCAAGAGATTTATTAAGAGCATACAGCATAAATGCTATATTGTAAGATCTATCCCTTTATATTGATCGGGTTGGCGTTAAAGTTTTTTATATGTTATAAAAAGAGGCTAGATCGGATCATAATTATGCCTTGTAGCATTCCCAATCGTACTGATTCCATCGGCTGCACTTAAGCCATCAACAAGCATTGACCACATTCAACAACAACGTTCGATTTGATAAAACTCTTAATCACCTAACCTTCCTAACTGATCAATTTATTACAGTTTGAACTACTTTAAGCCTGAGCATTCGCAGTGGTAAGTGTTCTGTGTTTTTTTTGGTTTGGCGCTACAACCCTGGGTTCCACTGAGGCTACGCCAGTTGTAAATCCGAAATGTAGACTATGCACTTGGTCCTTCCATTGGATACATGGGTACCGTTTTCCACCCATTAATCTCGCCTAGAAGTAGTTTTTCGTTGGTCTTTTATGCGCTTTACTATATCCAAGTCAGCGTAGAGCTCATACAGTTCGTGGTTTCATCTTCTTTGGTACTCATCGCAACGTAGACGGCGCCAATGACCCTGCGGAGAACAGTTATCTCTAATGCTCTAAGTGTTTTCTCATCCGGATTTGTCAGCGTCCATTTTTCTGTGCTGTATAAAAGATGGGAATGATAAAGGACTTTAGAGCTTGTTTTTTGCTCGTTCAGAGACGGATCTACTTCTCAATTAAATACCGAACCCAAAGTAGCATCGGTTGGCAAGAGTTAGTATTGGATTAGACTTTTGGCGGTATTTATGCTGGTTCGAAGAGAGATAAAGTCTTTAATTTTTCTAAAATTTTGTAGCTGCCAACAATGATGTTGTTCCCAAGATGCGAGGCATACTTGTGTCTAGCCTCCAAGTAGTTTTACCACAAGACCAACCTCCTTTGCTTCTTTTTCAAGGCTGGAAAAGCGTGCGCTGACAGCTTAGTTGTTAAAACCTATGATATCAATATCATCTACGTACCCCAGTTGCATTGTTATTTTAGAGTGGACAGTGCCACTGGGGTTCAGATTAGCAAGCCTGTCTAAATCTTCGTTCAGTACTAAACGCAGTGAGCCTTCCCAATGTTAACAGAGCTGATGGTTGGGCTCAAAGTCATTCTGCATAACTATATGAGTTTCGCAGAGAAACCAAGTGCAGATAT